TTCGTCTGTAAACAACACAAAGCCGGCTGATCTGCACTGGCTCAGAAGATGAATTCTGATTGGCTAAAAAAACAAAAAAACTTGTGGCGTTGAATGCACGTTCATTGTCAGTATTGTTATGCAAATTCAAACTAGCTAATCATTTACAACCTTCCGAGCCAGTGCAGATTAGCCCCACAAAGCCCTTGATAGGTAAGTAGCTATGCGGCAGAATTATATTTTGGATCCTTGTCTGTCTGTCCATCAGTTCGTCTGTAAACAACACAAAGCCCTTGATAGGTAAGTAGCTATGCGGCAGAATTATATTTTGGATTCTTGTCTGTCCATCCATCAGTTCGTCTGTAAACAACACAAAGCCCTTGATAGGTAAGTAGCTACATTGTATGCGGCAGAATAATGTTTTGGAATCATGTCTGTCCATCCATCTGTTCGTCTGTGAACCACACAAAGCCCTTGATAGGTAAGTAGCTATGCGGCAGAATTATATTTTGGATTCTTGTCTCTTCATCCATCTGTTCGTCTGTAAACAACACAAAGCCCTTGATAGGTAAGTAGCTATGCGGCAGAATTATATTTTGGATTCTTGTCTGTCCATACATCAGTTCGTTTGTAAACAACACAAAGCCCTTGATAGGTAAGTAGCTATGCGGCAGAATTATATTTTGGATTCTTGTCTGTCTGTCCATCAGTTCGTCTGTGAACAACACAAAGCCCTTGATAGGTAAGTAGCTATGCGGCAGAATTATATTTTGGATTCTTGTCTGTCCATCCATCAGTTCGTCTGTAAACAACACAAAGCCCTTGATAGGTAAGTAGCTACATTGTATGCGGCAGAATTATATTTTGGATTCTTGTCTGTCCATCCATCTGTTCGTCTGTAAACAACACAAAGCCCTTGATAGGTAAGTAGCTATGCGGCAGAATTATATTTTGGATTCTTGTCTGTCCATCCATCAGTTCGTCTGTAAACAACACAAAGCCCTTGATAGGTAAGTAGCTATGCGGCAGAATTATATTTTGGATTCTTGTCTGTCCATCCATCAGTTCGTCTGTAAACAACACAAAGCCCTTGATAGGTAAGTAGCTATGCGGCAGAATTATATTTTGGATTCTTGTCTGTCCATCCATCAGTTCGTCTGTAAACAACACAAAGCCCTTGATAGGTAAGTAGCTATGTGGCAGAATTATATTTTGGATTCTTGTCTGTCTGTCCATCA